TTACTGGATGATGATTCTTGGGGTTTAGCTTCTCAAAAGCACCATACGATTATGAGAGACGCTGTAGCGGAGGGCTCCAAAAATTTTGACCACCTGGGGTTCCTGACCGTGGGCCAGTCACTGGGGAAAAAAAGGAAGCGAAGACATGAAGTAGAAGACATAGAAAACATATAGATAACAAAGCCCTTGTCTTACTTCTACTGTATGTGCAGAGAAATGGCGGTTCAGAAACACAAGATCTAGTAGTAAGGTGTAATCCCCCTGTATGCGCGTACATACGTGAACTACCTGAAATAGATCCTGTATAAGCATAATGGCAAACACTGTGTTAACATGTCTTAAAGTGATAATGCTGGCGTCAAGGCGCTACTAGTCCACTTCACGTAGGTTCAGGGACTCAATCAGTAAGACCTTTTTACTTTCGAATTCGGCCATATAATTTTTCAGTGTGCTAAGATATTCTGGAGTAACGTCTAGGGGTCTGTACAACCCAATTACAACAAGATTAAGACCCCAGCATGTAGTCCTGCTGCATAAGCATTCTATGTCAATAAGATCATCCAACAAAACAGAATCGATACAATGTTTCACAAATATAGCAACCCTCCCCCCCAAGTGTGTCTGTCTTTACTGAAAATGGTGTAGAATGGGGGGAAGACGTCGCCATCAGGCGAATTCTCGTGCAGCCAAGTCTCATTAACAACCGTAATATGTGGACCATGTTGCAGCAGATGCACTTCAAACGCTTCAGTTTTGTTTACACACTTCGGGTATTCTTATTTAGTAGCTTTACCTGGTCGTTACATGGTGCTAGGATAGGTTGAGTGAGGCCTAGAAGATTGATGTTCGCCAGCTTTTACTCGCCTGTTTTGTAGTTCACTAGAATAAAATGTATTTTTATCAACTATGAGCTTGTCACGCACTAAGAATACTCATAATCCTTGTCGTTTTTCGGTCTTAGCACTGTCCCACAGCAATTTCAGTTTCTTAAGTGTCAACTGTGAATAATCGTTCTGAATAGATATTGTTCATCCTTTTATTTGTTAGGGATTTTCTAATATTCTTTTTTTTTTCAATAAAAGTTTGAACGTGGAAGATGACGGTTCTATTACCAGTTTGCTTTTCTATTTGGTGAATGCGTCCAATGGAATCTGACACCAAGCTTTTCTGTGAATATTTCTTTGACCAATTTTTCCTTCAGGGTTGCATCAGGTTCATTAGGGTCATCGGGAATTCCTTGAATAATCGAATTTGACCGTCTGAAATGAACTTCGAGGTCGGTAAGCTTTTTTTTTTGAAAGTTTACAATGTGTTTCAGTGCTTTTAACGTATTTTTCGCTTTTTTCACTGTGATCGCAAATGCTGCGTTCCTGGGAATCTTTTTGTGCAGTAATGAAATCATTCACTATATTTTTTGTGTTTTTAGTATTAGTATTTTTATTAGTGCTTTTATTACATTCGGAGTTGATAATTTGCGCCTTTTCCGCGTTACTTCCCGGTGTGTTGTTCTTTTACGAACCGTATCGCTGATATAATTTTTTCCTAATTTCAGCGAAGTTTGTGTTTCGTAAAATCGTATGCGTGATATGAAATTCTGCTAATCCGCGAAAACTTGTTGCGTTAAACTTAGGTGCGCGTAATAAACAGTGAATTTCCGTTGGGAAGCTCTTTCGGCGTTGCCGGACAGTGTCTCCATCGGGGCGTAATTCGAGAAGGATTCCTGGCGATCAGTCTGGTGGCGGCTGTTATTGCAGTTGGCGACATACATTCAAGTGCTTTTAGTTAATATTTTCTGTTGCAATATAACTATGTTGAGCCGTTTATGCGCATGTACACCTCCTTGTGAACTATTTGCGGATAGGGAGAAATGAACATGACTAGAAACAGATGAGATCCTTCTCAGGTGGGCAGTCTTCTTGGTCCAGAAAACTGAGGTTTATCTTCTTTCTAAGGTCGATCAATTCACGGGGCAAGCCTCAAAGCTGGGCTTCCCTATATGCTGTAGTCGACTGCTTTACCTATCGCATTGTTGCAAGGCACCAGAATTGTTTCAACCTACCATACTATAAGCTAGGCGACGCTGGTAAATTGGAGACTAAATCATAATCCATTCCTAGCTCTCCCGATTATGGCCCCCATCAAAAATACTTCTACGCCCTTGTTGACTCATGGCAGCTAAGATATCAAGCAGCCACGTTCAATTCGCTTTCTAAGACATTCATACTTTAAAGACGGGAACACCACCTGATAAGTTCATAACGCGTTTCCTACTATTTGGTTCCTGCCTACACTTGCGTCACCTGTGATGTGAGTTTGAGAACGAACCCCAATAAATTTCTGACAGAGTGGACTAAGGTTCTAGAGCCCTAGCTGAGCGGTAGCCTCCTCTGCAAGGTGCCAGTGCAAGGCGCAAAAGCACTGCACAAGCGGCCCGAAATGCCGAAAAACTACAGTTTATGGTCGTGCGACAAAAAAAAAATCCTCAGCAGCCAACCAGTTACGAGATATCATTATATATATTTACGGGAAATTTTCTGTCAGTTTGTTTCTTAGTGGCCCACTGCCAGAACTGGGGCAGGAAAAAGGGGAGGGCTCAGCTTTTTTACTATTCTCAGTAAGGGGAGGGCAGCGCCCCTCTTGCGCCTTTCCCCCGGGAAATACGCCTATGCAAGTGCCACACTGCACAGCTACAGCACAACGCCATGCGCATCATGAGGGATCCTGAACAAACGAGGACTCTCTTGAGGCGGGAGACACCGTAATAAATAAGTCATCGGGAGACTCCCAACAGGGATGTCTCTAAAACACCGCCATGAGTCAGACTCATGAACCCGAAAACGTCAGCTTGATGTGCGCCATCGCTCGCGACGCCGGCAAGGGCGCACACAATCAGCTACTGGCCACAGAGCCCGTACTGCCTCCGAACGTGGCCAAAACTTCCGTCATTGGTGACGTCGATGCTCGACGGGAACAAAATCCTTCAGCATCATTGTCGTCCTTTTCGAGCGAGGAATAAAAATCGTCATAGAACTTGGATTTTTGACTCAGATCGGAAACACCTGTGAGCGAGGCACACGATCAGGACTACCTGACACGCTAAGTCGTCAAGCGGAGCATATTCGCGCAGCACCTGCAGAGGCTTGACATAGAACGCAAAAACAGTTCAAGGATAACGCTGATTATCAGGAAGCCTTCAGAGTGCACAAGAAGAGAAGCGACGCAAGCGACGACAAGAAGCGAAGCAAGAAGCGCTAAAGGCACCAGTGTTACTTTTGGGCATCGTGTCGGTGCGACATGGTGTCAAGCAGGGAAGCAAGCGCACCGGGTCTCGAGACGAAACATTAAAGATATCAAAGAACGTCACCAAAACGACATATAAACACTACTGCTTGAATGGGTGGCTTTCCCCGCAAGACAAGCCACCGCCTCCCCAAGCTTCATGGTCATTAGGGAAGCACGCCATCGCCTCCCTGTAGCACCTCCTCTCTTCACTCGTTACACATCCCCCTTTCACTCGTTCGCATCTTGTTCGCAAATGTCCACCTGAACTTCAGCCGCAGTGCATCCGGACATTGCCGCGAGTTTGCCGGCTGGGAGAGTGTGTTACAAGTAAAGGAGTAAGAAGGGCGGTGAGCACCAGCATGATCCAGGGGCGCTAGCTCGCTCAGTTGTTCTAAAGGACATCTATGGTTGTTCCATTCACCTTGCATGTAGCCAGACGATCGGGTCCGGGTACCTTTTTCGTTTCTCGCAAGCGTGTCACCGATCGACAAAGTGCGTCACCGCTTGCCAGTCGACGTGCCTGGTGTGTCAATGCATGGCGAAGAGCGAAGAAACACCTGCTTTCGAGACGATGCCTCGGGAGTTCAAAGGATTCTTTTTTAGTCAGTCTGGTGACGCAAAACGCAAAGGCGTTGCGTAATGCCGAATAGCGTGCACCGCCGCTGCTGCAAGGTCTATTGGCGCTATCTATGAAAGATAAGCGAAAACGTCCAAACACGAAACATAGGTCCTCCAAGATTGGAGGAGTACCCCCACCAAGCCTACAGCATTGATTATTTCAGTATGGTTATCGAAAATACTGCCTAATCCACGCCACTACTTTGATGTGGAAGCCTAAGGGTATTTATCTAAAGCAAATAAAAGAACCAATTCGTAGCTAACGAGCTAGTGAGTGCACAACGGTCACTTAACAGAATTCAGATGAACGGCGGCAGCTTTCGGCAGTGCGGAGTGTGCAATAGCTTTTCCGCAGTGCATGGTGGCAAGCGGAATTTATTTCATTTATTTATTATTTATTTATTTGTTTGTTTAATTGGTAATACTGCCAAGCCTCATGGAGGGTCATCACAGAGAGGACATACCTAAAGAATCTACAACGTTCATAAAGTTTTTTAATACCTTGAAAACTCACAATGAAAACTGGTATTCTCTTAAATATCAGCTCAACATTCAAATGAGTATTCAAAAACAACTCAAGATTCACTGTCATTTTTCAAAATATTTGCTATGAACTTGAAGTCGCTCACATTCCTTGGCACTGAAAAAAATTAATTTACCAATCATGCAAATTCGCTTCTACAGCACTTTCGAAGTCAGTGACATCTTTTAAAACAACAATTTGATTCGGAAGTTTGTTCCACATTTCTGTGACATCTGAAAAAAAAAAGAATATCGAAATGTGTCAGCACTTGCACGGTATGGTTTTATGACGCAATCGTGGTTTGTTCGGGGATTTCTTTTGCCTTGAGAGCGTAAATATTTGAGCTTATCTATTTTTAGTTGGTCGTGCATTATTTCGAATAATACTTTCAGCCGATACTTATTTCTACGGAATTCAAGAAGATCTAGGTTGCATCTCTGTAACATCAGTGTTACTGATTCCTTCCTTCGGTACGTTGAACAAATGATGATGATGATGTTGATGAAATAAACATTTATTTTTTGAAACAGTGTTCCCGAGTTTCTGAGCTCGGGGTCACTCTAGGTGGAAGGGTCCCTTATTCCAGGAATCCTCTGGCCGCTATCGCCTCCCGGGCCCTGGCGTCAAGTCCTCGTTCGTCGTCTAGGTCACGTGCGGCAATCTTCGCCTCCCCCGTCTCGGCTAGGGAGTTGATACGTGCAGTCGTTGCGGACTTGGTATTGGCATCTTCGTGGCGCCACGGGCACTCGAGTAGTACTAGGTGGGCCAGTGTGTATGGCACGTCGCATATCGGGCAGTTGTAGGCGTACAGCGTTGGGTAGATTCTATGCAGTAGGGTGCCGTGTCTATAGGTGTTAGCTTAAAGTCTCTGAAATGTTGTTGCCTCTTTTTTAATCAGTTTGGGGTGAGGTAGCGGGTACACCCTGTGAGCTAGACAATAGTGTTGTAGGATGGCGTTTTATGTTGGTGGTACGGTCGCCACTTTTGCAGCGCTGGCTAACCGCGAGTCAAGCGAGGCGCTGAGGAAGGCCCGGTTGACGTGACCGCGGGCCGCGGCGTGAGCCACTTCATTTCCATCGAGCCCCTCGTGTCCAGGCACCCATACCACGCAGGTGTAAGGAAGCGGAGTTCGGCTCTTTCTCAGAAATTTGAGAGCTTCGGCGGAGATTCGGCCTCGCGTGTAATTGCGGACAGCGGATTGGGAATCTGTGAAAACTAGTACCGCGTCCTTACCAGTCGTAGTGGCAAGGGCGATCGCTGCTTCCTCGGCAGACTCGGAGCTCCACACCCGGAGGGTGGCGGATGCCAGCTCTTGTCCTTCCGTGTCGACCACACTTAAAGCGTAGGTATTTTTGCCAGGGTATATTGCCGAGTCAACGTAGCGAGCGTCTGGATCGTGCTGGTGTCTTCTGCGAATGGTGTCGACTCGAGCGATTCATCTTTCTCGATGGTACTCGGGATTCATGTTACGCGATACTCGGGCGATGCTGAATGATTCTCGCATCTAAGGCGGCATCTTCTCTTTACGGTCTGCCTCGCAGATGTAGCTCTCGTTGTAGCCCAAGCGCTCAAGAACCAATCTGCCCGTCGACGTAAGCTTAAGTCTCTCGAGTTGGCTGGTCCGTTGGGCTTCTGCCAGCTCTTGCCAGGTATTGTGTATACCCATTCTTAAAAGTCTGGTGGTCAACGCCATTGGAGGTAGCCCTATGTCAAGCTTGGTAGCTTTGCGGATGAGCACATTCAGCTTGTCGACTTGAGATGTCTTGAGGGCGAGGTACGGGGTTTCATAGGTGATTCGGCTGGTTAGAAGAGCCTTCACAACTCTCAAGGTATCGTTTTCCTTCAGGCTACTGTGTCGGTTTGCGACACTCATTACGAGGTGCGTGAGCTGGAATACTGTGCGTTGAAGTCCAGGAAGCATGGCGGCCCCTGATCCGTCGTGGTGCAGCTGCAAGCCGAGTAAGCGAAGCGAGGTGACCTGCGGTATTTGGACCCCGTGAAGGATGATGTATGGGTCTGGCGCTTTGCAGGTTGGAGGTCTTCCTCGCGTGCGGGCCTTGAGTACCAGTAATTCTGATTTTTCAGCTGCACAAAGGAGGCCACAGCTTTCGAGGTAGCTCTCAATAACATTGACCGCCTCCTGAAAACAGCTTTCTTGCTATCTAGTACTCTTGCCTCGAGTCCAAAGCTTAATATCGTCCGCGTATATGACGTGATGTACGCCTTGTATTCTTTCGAGAAGCCGAGGGAGCTTAAAGAGTGCCACGTTGAAAAGAAGTGGTGACACAACACAGCCTTGAGGTGTACCCCTGTTCGGCAGCTCAATTTTTTCACTCCGTATATTGTGTATTCCCACTGTTGCCGTACGACCGGTGAGGAAGCTTCAAACATAGTTATAAATCTTGAAACCACAGCCAGTATCTTCGAGATTTTGTAGTATTGCTTTATGGCTAACATTGTCGAAGGCTCTTTCACATCAATGGCAAGAAGAGACGACTTGCTATTCTTGCTCAAGTGATCAACTATATCCTCCTTGAGGAGTAAGAGGATGTCCTTCGTAGAAAGCAGCTGGTGGAAGCCCAACATAGTGGCTGAGAAGTACCCGTTGTCCTCAAGGTGCGACGTGAGCCGGTCATAAATCATATGCTCAAACAGCTTGCCAACGCACAGAGAAATGGTTCTAAGGTTGTCAACAGCTATGGACTTGTTGGGCTTAGGTATCTTGATAACCTTCAAATGCTTCCTTGCGGCTGGAAGCTTTCCTTTGTCCCAGCAGTCATCGCAGTATTGTAGTTGAGCAGTCATAGCCTGATTGGGTAGCTGTCGGAAGTGCTTGTTGACTATCTCGTCTTTGCCACGACTCGTGTTTCTCGTAAGCTTGGAAAGAGTTGCTTAAAGCTCTGCTGGAGTGAAGGGCCTGCCAAAGTCGGAATCGGGCATGCCTTCGTATTCTTTGTGTGATGGTGGCATTGCCACTGATTGTACAGGACCATGCAGCTTGTTGCATAATTCGTGGAGCAGTTCTTCCTCCGAGCCTTCGTAATTGTGTGTTAGCTGGCGTACTCGTTGTGGCTGCTGCGTCTTGGTGGGGCGGTCACCGAGGAGAGTCCGCAGCAGGTGCCACGTCTTCTTGGTTCTGAGCGTACCCTGGAGCTTATCCCAGACGTCGCGCCAGTTATGTCTCGCTCGGTTTTCTGCATACTGTTAGTGCCTCTTCTGTCAATAAGAAAATTCTTTTCCTGAGTTTCTTGTTCAATTTTCGCCTCTTCCATCTCTTCAGTAAGGCTCGTCCGGCCTACCAGAGGTGTAATAAGCGTGAATCTACTGCTGGATTGTCTTCGTTCAGCTGCATTACTTTGGTACACCGTTTGGCGGTACTTTCCCGCTCCGATGCGACACTGTTATGCCGCCTTTGGTTGGGTGTTGCATTCACAAAGGTGTACTCCTTTCGCATTGGTATGGCAGACACTCCTACATGCGACTACTGCGGAGATGAAGAAACCATCGAACACGTCCTCTGCAGCTGCGCTTGCTACGACACACAGCGATGCCAGCTACGGATGGTTTTGAATCGACTTGACCCCGGACCATTTTGTGTGCGGAAGATACTAGGACTTTGGGCATCTGCCTCAGTTGCGCAGAAAGCAACTAAAGCACTGCTTCAATACCTTAAGTCAACAAACCTGAGCGACCGCCTGTGAACTGTGTGTGCTCACCGAGTGTGCTCGTGATTGTGTGCGCCTTCTCATCTTTGTGCAACCTCTTTTCTCCCCTTTATCCCTTCCCCAGTGCAGGGTAGCAAACCGGATGTGCGTCTGGTTAACCTCCCTGCCTTTCCTTGTATCTTTATCTCTCTCTCTCTTGGCGGTATCCAGAATCTTGGTGAGCCAGGCATCTATGCCCGCTATTGCGTTGTCACCATCGACCTCGTTTCTGAAGGCGTTCCAATCTGTCAGTCTTGCTGTGCCTGTTTTTGTAGATCGTTGGTCATATTCTATTTTGAGTTGAAATATGCGATGATCGCTGCCAAGCGTCTCGGGGAGACAGGTCCATCTTACCGTCTTGACATCTCGTGTGAAGGTGAGGTCGGGCGTGGTATCTCTCGAGACGCTGTTTCCCACTCTCGTGGGCCGGAGTGGATCATTCAGCAATGTGAGGCCGTGCTCCTGAGCGGAGTCGTGGACTCTCGCGCCTTTCTTGGTGGTGATGGCTTAGCCCCAAGCTGTGTGGGGCGCATTTAAGTCCTCTACGACTACTAACAGATGACCGTTTGTGCGTTTTCTGAGTTCGCGGACGAAGTAATCGTAGTCCCTGAGCTGATCTCACGGTGGGCTGTGCACGTTAGCGACGTAAAGGCTTTGTTGTGATCTTCGTTCCAGTATGACTTCCACGATAGAGTGTCCAACTGTAGTGTCTTCTATCTTGTGGACTTGGGCCGCAGCAGTTTTATTAAGTAGAATGGCGGTTCTTGGGGTCAGAGCAACGGTGTTGTATCCTGCGAGCCGCACTTTTTCAGTATTGTTCTTTTGTAGAGTGATGAGGTAAGGCTGATTTACTTTTATAAATTCTTGTAGATTAGCCAGCCAGGGTCTGTATGATCGACAGTTTCACTGCCAATTGAGAAAAGTTGGTTGCGGAGTAGAAATCTTATTTTTAGAGCCTGCCATCTTCGTGAATATCTGGTACGTTTACCTGCTCGCCATCGGGAGAGAAAGAGTGAGAAACTTTTTCACTCTTTGGGCGTGTTTTTGTTTTCTTTTATGGCAGTCTTCAAATTCCGCGTGACTAATGCAGTTGTTCTTGACATGAACCACAAAGTTGGTTAGCTGTGACTTGAGAACGTTAATTTGGGCTGTGTGAGTGTCCATTCTTTGGCTGAGCGTAGTGAATGTGTCACCAATTTGGGCGAAGATGGGCTCCAACTTCACCAGGACGAGTTCTTCAAGCGTCAGCTCGACTGCTGTGGTGCGATTATATACAAACTTCAAATCCGGACAAAGGCGGTCTGTTCCATTGAGTCGCACGCGATTGGCCCATATGAGCCGTGACGAATGCTGTATTATTAGTGACGTGGGCTGGGGTGTCACGTGACTGTTTTTCTCTGGTTTGACCGTCCGAAAAGAACCGGATGGATTTAAATGGCTGCGAATTGGCCTGGATTAGATTGAAATGTAAGAGTTTCGCGACTTTTCAGCATCCGGCCACTTAGACAACATGGCGTTTCCCACTGCCACAGTTTTTCATCTCGCCTGTGCGGCAGCTGCAGCCGAGCAGAGATGACGAAGTGAGGTTAAAGATGCATTCGAAAAGTTCACTGAAGAAGAGTTCCGACAATGTTCTCGTCTGTCCGAACGAACAGTGCGTAGCTTGTGCGACGAACTTGTCCCTGTCATTGGATGCCAGCGAACAAGTGGCCTTTCCACGGAAAATGAAGTTGTGTGCGCTGCGATTTTTCGCCACCGGTTGGTTCTAGAGGAGCGTTGGTCACGAGGAGCACATCGGCAACTCTCAGCCGGCCAAGAGCAACACTATCCACGAGGTGACGCAGGCCATCATCACCGTGGCTGCTAGGGAAAAACTGGCGGACTTCCAACTGACAACAGCTGCTAAGGATGAGGCAGAGGTGGAGTTTGTGATACGCGGTTGCATCCCAGGCGTGCTGGCGTGTGTAGATGGCACGTTGGCCGCCATTCACAAGCCGCAGGGATTCAAACTGGCCGACACGGCGAGCTTCATGTTCAGAAATGGCTAATATTTCTTTATTTTATTTATTTTAAATATTTATTACATACTGCGGACCACACTTTGGTCCAAGCAGGAAGGCTAGGTGTAATGCAAAGAGAAATACGATACACGCAAAACAAAAAAAGCAGTGCACAGTTACTCATTATCGCAAGTACTACATTCGATTGTCTGGTTCCAGTCTGAAATGGTGCGAGGAAAAAATGAAAATTTGAACGTGTCTGTTCTCGCGAAGTACGGATTTAGTGCATTTGGTTGGCGATGTCTTGTCGGTCTTGTGTTTAATAGAGAAAGAACAGAGGTTGGATCAAGCGAAAGTTTGCGATTATATAGAAGAGACAGAAAATCAAGGCGGGACTTCTTTCTACGATCCTGAAGGGAAGGAATATTATTAGCTAGCATTAGGTCTGTGGGGAAGTCCGTTCGCAAAAACCTAGAATAAACAAACCGAATGGCCTTCCGCTGAATCCTTTCAAGTTTTTTAACATTTTGTTTAGTAAGGGGGTCCCACACGATACTCGCATACTCCAGCTTCGGCCTAACGAAAGTGAAATAACTAAGAAGCTTTACGTTTGGAGGCGAATTTCTGAGCTTATATCTTAGGAAGCATAATTTTCGAAAGGCAGACGAAGCAAATATTATCTATGTGCTTGTTCCTTGATAAGTTGTTTGTTAATGTAACGCCGAGGTGCTTATAACTGTCAACCTGTGTGAGAGAAGATGATCCTAATTTATACACGTGTTCACTGGGGGTTTTTTTCTCGTTACACAGAGATATACACTTTTTTCCAAATTTAATTCCATTCCCCATTCTACACACCACTCCCGCACGTTTTCAATGTTTTTCTCGAGTTCGTTCTGATCATTAGTACATGTGACTTCCCGAAACAAGACACAGTCGTCAGCAAACAATCGAATTTGAACAGTAGGGTCAACAACAGTTACTAAATCGTAATATACAACAAAAAAATCAATGGTCCCAAAACACTACCTTGTGGAACCACAGAGGTGACAGAAAGACGCCGATATTCTTCTTCGTTAATTTTTACAAGCTGTTGGCGGTTGGATAGGTAGGCTGCAATCCAGGAAACAAAAATATCCGGAATGTGAATGTTTTTTAAGTTTTGCTAATAATTTGTCGTGTCGTACCTTGTCGAAAGCTTTTTTGAAATCTAAAACTATAGCATCAATTTGGCTGTTATTGTCAAGACACGCTGCTAACGAATGAATTATTGTCACCAATTGGGTTGCCGTGGAATAACCTTTTCTAAAACCATGTTGAAAATTTGTTAGTACGGCATTTTCGTCTAGAAATTCAAAAATCTGTTTGGAAATATCATGTTCAATGATCTTGCAGCATTGAGACGTTAAAGATATCAGACGGTAATTTTGAAAGCTGGACCGGTCACCTTTTTTAAAAACGGGAACAATCAGAGCCATTCTCCAGTCACTCGGCAGCTTCCCAGTGGACAAAGAAGTACGAAATATTACTACAAGAAACTTAGCAAGTATTTCGGCATATCTGCGTAAAAAGGCGTTTGGAATCTGGTCTGCACCACATGAAGACTTGGTTTTAAAATTTAACAGCATAGATAGTACACCAGAGTAAGATACAAAGTCAGCGTCATAAATGCCAGGATCTGATATTAACAGTGGATACGTTTGCGCAGGAGGAAACACACTGTGAAAATATTGATTAAAATATTTAGCGATGATTCCAGGGTCAGAAGCGAGGTCACCATCGATTTTCATTTCCCTTACAGGCTGCTTTTTGTCAGTAATGTAATGCCAAAACTTATCAGGATCATTTTTTATGAAGTTTGGTAGGAGGGTTTGAAAGTAGTGGTCCTTTGAGCAGCGCACTGTGTTTTGCAAAGAATTTTTCATCGCACTGATAACGTCAGACTATGCCTTCTTCTTCTTCTTCAATCTTTTAAGTTTGCGTTTCAAGTGAATAATTATGCGTGTTATCCAGGGTGTACGCTTGTGAAATTTCGCTCTTGCTCGGTATAAAGTTATCAAGGCAGTAATGGCACATGTCCCTGAACCGGTCCCATAGGTTG